GCTTGATACAATCCCCAGTCCTAGCAATAGCCGATCAGGACAGGCCATTTCATGTGGTCTGTGATGCCAGCGATTTCGCAATCGGCTGTGCATTAATGCAGTACGATCTTGAAGGCGTTGAACGCGTCGTCTGCTATCAGTCGCGTCAGCTGCAACCAGCTGAGCGAAACTATCCAGTGCATGACAAGGAACTCCTTGCCATGAAGTATGCACTCGCGAAGTTCAGAGTCTATCTATTAGGAGATAGACCCTTCGTTGTTTACACTGACCATGCGTCATTACGCACGGCAGTGAACAGCCCGCACCTTTCACAACGAATGGCGCGGTGGTTGTCATTCTTTGCAGAATACAACTTTACGGTCGAGTACAAACCAGGACGACTTAATGTCGTCGCTGATGCACTCTCACGTCGTCCCGACTTTGAAACAGTCGCGAAACCCAACAGTGAGACAGTCACTGTTGCGGTTATGACGTCCTCAGTTCCATCTACAATGCTGTATGATGATGTGAGGCGGGCATACGCCCAAGATGGTGAGATAGTGAAGTTGTTGTCACATCTCTCCCAACCATCCCGAGAATCGTTGAAACGATTGTCGCCTGCGTATCGATCTGCATCAGATCGATACACTACTCGTAACGGTTTACTGTATTATACAGCCGTTTCTGGTGACACACCACGTGTTGTCATTCCAGATGATACTGATCTGCGTTTGCGGGTCATGTTCGAGTATCACGATGCTCCTATAGGAGGACATCGTGGCCGAGAGAAAACATATCTCACGGTAAGTCGAGACTTTTACTGGCCCCGCCAGTATCAGTTTGTGCGAAAGTATGTTCGCGCATGCGAAGTCTGCCAACGAGTGAAGTCAAGTCCTTCACTGCGTGCACCTTTACAGCCTCTACCGGTTCCGGCTGAGTGCTGGGAATCCATCTCAATGGATTTCGTCTTCGGGTTACCCAAAGACGCACGCGGGAATACGGGTATTCTCGTATTTGTTGACAGATTCAGCAAAATGGTACACCTTGCGGCTGTACCAGAGACAATCACGGCAAGTGGCTGTGCTTGTGTCTTTATTGACACCATCTTCCGACTTCATGGGTTGCCCCGTGAACTCGTATCAGACAGAGATCCACGATTCACTGCTGATTTCTGGCGTTCCGTGTTCAAATCACTCGGAACGCGCTTGAAGATGTCAACATCTGATCATCCAGAGTCAGATGGTCAGACGGAACGTGCCAATCGTGTCCTTGAAGAGATACTTCGAGGATACGTACACTCCTTTAAGAATTGGAGTGAGTTTTTGCCAATGGTAGAGTTTGCCATCAACAACTCGGTGCATGCGTCCACGACACATACACCGTTTTACGTGAATGGCTTGCGCCATCCGCGTGTACCCACCTTACTAGAGTGTAACTCTGGTTTAAGGGGGGGAGGGACTCGCGCGAGCAAAAACCGATTTGGTTCACGCTCATCACGCTCTGACGAAGAAGTCATTGCGTTTGATGCCGATATCGATAACATCGATATCGAAGAAGATGATGCCAGTGAGAGTGCGGAAGCCCTCACTGAAGACAATGATCCCAGTGAGAGTGCGGAAGCCCTCACTAAAGAAAAGGTTGTTGTTGCTGCAGTGCGCTCACAGCACACTGAAGCTAACGAGTCATCAGATGAGTTCATACTGGCTCGTGAAACGGTAGTCCGTTTTGTGCAAGACTCCATCGCCGAAGCGGTGGATAAGCAAAAGCAAAACGCTGACAAGAATGGAAGGGCAAACACTCTTTTATTTAATAAAGGTGACTTAGTCCTACTGTCTACGGTTAATCTACCAAAGCATGTAGTGACTAACTTGAGTAGCAGTAAACTACTACCCAAGTACATTGGCCCATTTCGTGTATTGCACCGCCTAGGCAATGCATACACGATCGAGTTACCACGTAAGATGCGAACGCATCCCACGTTTTACGTTGGTCGGCTTAAGCCGTACCATCAGTACGCTGCTTCTTCCGATGAAGAACGCCCTTGCGCTCAAGCATCTCGCAGAGAGCCTTGTGCTCCCGATGGTGGGCATCAACAAGGGTCTGAAGAGCAGCTATCTCATCCCGAGACCGATCAACAATCCCACGAGCTACCCTTAGCTCGTCACGAAGAGATGTCAGAGATCTCTCGTTCTCAAGCTGAGCAAAGGCAAACTCAGCTCGATGCTTCGAGGCAGTGTCCACCATCTGGAGACGCCTATTCCGCTCATGCTCGAGATCGTCGCGTAACCCTTGCGTTACGCGATCAAAGAAGCTCTCGGGAACACACCGATCCACATGATCGTGTGGAGAGCGTCTTTCCTCCTCCTCCACCTCCATTAGAGGACTCTCGCGGTGGCCAGCGCTATCTAGTTGAGCAGCTGTTGAACCACCGCGACGTGAACGGACGTCGGACGAGTTACCTCGTCCGGTGGCGCGGCTATCCCCCGTCCTGGGATTCTTGGGAGCCCCGCTCCCAATTGATGGTTGACGTACTGGGTCTGGTCGAGCAGTACGACGCGGCACATCCTGTGCCGCAGAAGGACCGCCGGAGAAAGTCTTCCCGGCACGGTCGTAAAGGGATTTCAGGTTGTCAATCCCTTCGTACATCTCAGTAGAGACACGTACGCGCCACCACGGGCTGGTAAGGAGGTAAGCCTCCTTAGGTGCTCGTGCAGAGTTGTTCACACAACATGGGCACGAGTCTCCCCAAGAGAGGCAGGGTAATCCTTTCTCCCTTGACAGACGATGCAGCTTGTAGCGTGCACCTGTCGGGGTTCGCTTTTCAAACTTATCACGAGCTTTGATAAGTTTGTCGTTCCAAGCGTCACGACCTACATCCTCGAGGTTATGGATGTAGGCGTTCCACGCCTGAAGTAGTGAGGGACCATCACGTTTGTGATTCCCACTGTACCATCGATGTCTGAAGAAAGCATCGATGAAGAACTCATGTTCAGCGCGATAGTCTTTCGCGCTGGGGTCAAGGTGATGGATCCTTGACGAATCGAACAATCGTGTTCGATAACGATCACTCGTCGTCGCCGACAAGTGATCCATGACAGATTTAGGAGGCATCCATGCCTTCTTTTCTGGAGCGAGACGCAACACATTGCGGTCCCGCTCTTCCTGCGACGTGCCGACAGAAGTACTGGCACCTCGCTGTGAAGTGGTGTCCATTGGAGAACCGACACCACTATTAGCGCCCGAGTCTCGCGACCTCGAGCGCCTTCGCTTCGGCGATGGTTCATCTGACTCATCAGATGAACCAAAGATGCTGCGACGCAAAGCATCGTCCATGCCACGCTTGGCAGGCGGCTTAGATTCAATCGCCGTCGATACGGATTCGTCATCCGTATCAGGAGAGTACGAGACACCGAGCTCGTACTCTGTGAAGACACGAGTGTCTTCATGACCAGCGCCTGCGTCACCAAGTGACACAGGCTGGGTCTCTTCAGCAACCGATGGGACATCAGTTGCTGTTGTTTCTGCTTCGGCGTCCGCACAGAGACGTGCAGACGCGCTCTCGGCGGCCTTGCTCGCGCATCGCATGGGCTTGTTAACCATGCGATGAAATGTTGGAAAGTGGACGCGGACCAACAAGTGCAAACCCCGTCCCAAATGATTTGGGACGAGTATCCATTTAGTCAATCAGTCACTAAAGTGACTGATGGTTAAGGGGGGGGTGATGTAACGGGGTGAATCGTTACATAACAATTTATAAGAAATTGTTAATAGAATATAACTATAAGAGTTATATTCTCAGAATATTGTCATAAGGACAATATTCTGTAGCACTTACAAGTAGTTCCTAATTGGTTGATATAGGCCATTATATCAACCAACGAAGACGCGCCACGACAGACGCACGCAATGAGTGGTGAGCAGATAACTGATTTACACATTTGTATTTAGACATAGTTAGATGAAGATAAATAGTGATTTATTGCAGACATTAACTATTATAAATACAGTTCTACTTTTACTCTAACCAAGTACTCGCTTCTTCTTACCGTCTTCCTCTGCACGTACGAGTGTACGTGAAGTTACGAGGCACCGCCTTATTCTGTTATCGGAATAAGTAGCTTGTACTGTCACCAGTACAAGCTTCAGGGTGCCCCGTTACAACATTGTTCAAAGCCTAAAGTCACAAATACAGAGCATATCTTCTTGTACCAAACTGCTGCGGCTTCTTTTAAGCCATACAAACTTCGTCTTAGCTCGCAAACCGATCCAGACGTAAATTTTATCCCTGGTGGTGGCTCCATGTAAACGTCTTCTTCCAAGTCTCCATTTAGAAAGACTGTTTTTACATCAAATTGTCGTATCACATATTTCATACTGCAGCAAACTGCAAGAAACGTGCGAATTGTGTTTGAGCACGCAACCGGTGAGTACGTATTAAAGTAATCAAAACCATGCGTTTGCGGGTATCCAAGAGCAACCAAACGCGCCTTATAACGCACAATTTCGTTATTTTCATCAAACTTGTGCCCAAAAACCCACTTGTTTCCAATAACCTTGACACCAGAGGGGCGGCGAACAACATCCCATGTGTGATTGCGTTCATGAGCTTGAATCTCGGTCAGAATTGCTGCTTTCCATTGCGTTGACTCTGATGACTGTATTGCCTCGTTGTAAGTCGTGGGTACAACAGTGGCAGAAAGCGAAATTTCGTGAACGTCCATACATTGACGTTTACCTTCAGGCTCGACTACGTCAGCATCACCCTCATTTTCCGCTACCGGTTCATCTGTCAAGAGTGGTAAATTTCCACGACCATGTCTAGAATTATCACTTTCAAGCAAACGAGGGTACGAATCGCCACTGAATCTTCTTTTACTCGACCCAGTGTATACCTCAAGTCTGTCCTCCTGGTTGTACTGCTCCTCACGCGGTACAAATGCATTTGAGCGATCGCAAATGTCTTGTAGCATGTGCGTGCGCTGATGACCCTTCTCATCAACGCCTCCACTTAGTGTGCGCAATTATCTGATTGTTTCACCTGTCCGCTCATCTGTACGCTCCCCTTCAATCGGAACAATCTCCAAATTTTCCGACCTGTTGTCCTTGCCATAGGCATCCACAACCATGTCTTCCCAGCTAGGGTCAACATCATCTGCTCCATCAACTTCCATGTCTTCCGCATCATGAGAATCCGCTGAAATGGGTACATTTACCGCATTTTCGTCTCTATCATCGTTCTGTTGTGTGATTTTGACACAATTTTCACTCACAACAGTATTCTTGTATCGTTGAGGAGGCCTTTCGTCCAGTGTGACAGAACGAGTCACTACCAACTGTTCTCGATCCACATCCCACACACGGTACGCCTTTGATGTCTCCGAGTAACCCAGAAAAATGCACTTGTTAGCCTTGTTGTCCCATTTGGTCCGCTTGCAATCCGCTACTCGTGTATAACCAGTAGATCCAAATACACGAAAGTAACTTAAGTCAGGTTTCGAACCGTTCATCACTTCAAATGGACTCTTGTTGGGACGCGCTGTGTTCGGAATTCGGTTTAGTGTGTGGGCAGCTGTCATAACAGCTTCACCCCACCACATTCTATCCACCTCCATATGGCTCAACATCGAACGTGCCATTTCAGCAAGCATTTTATTCATTCTCTCAGCCAATCCATTTTGCTGTGGAGTATACGGCACGCTTGTTTGGTGTATGATACCATGATTCACATAGTACTTGTTGAACCGGTAACTTGTAAACTCACCACCATTGTCACTTCTGATGCACTTGATCTTGCGATCCGTTTGTGTCTCCACCATCACGTGAAAGTCCTGAAAACGTATAAACACTTGTGAATTCGCAGCGAGTAAGTACACATAGACGAATCGGCTATAGTCGTCGATAAATGTGAGGACATAAAGGGCACCACCCTTTGATTTCGGGCTCATCGGACCCATAAGATCAGTATGAACAATTTCAAGTGGCTGACTTGTTTTGACTGTACTCCCTGAGGTATGACGAAACGGACTGTTCGTCATTTTTCCACGTGAACACCCATCGCAAACACCGTCTTCAGTTGCCGACAACTTCGTGATACCGTCGCACGCCTTCATTACTTAATTAAGCTTGCTTGTCGATACGTGACCAAGGCAAGCATGCCACGGTCCACTTTCATCATCTTCTTTGGTCGTGCTCTCGGCTTTGTACGCCTCCAATATCACATCCTGCTTCACATTTCACGCAAACAATTTTCCCACTCGATTAATCACTGCTACCGTAATCCCATTGAATGTTAGGACTGCTTGATTACGCTTGAACTGCACAAGCACACCTCGGGCTGTCAGTGCTGGTACAGATACAAGCTTCTTGTCCAATTTAGGAACATGAAGAAGTTTCTTCAGCATAACTGTGCGGCTATTTTCCAGTACAAATCGCACCGACCCCGTTCTTTTCGCCATCAGGTGCTGTCCATTAGCAACTGTGATGCTAATTGGGGTAGTCAGATTTTCATACTCCACAAAATTACGCTCGTCATCAGTCATGTGACGGCTTGCACCACTATCCAGCAGCCAAGTTGCACTTGACTCCAATTTCTCGCTTGATGCTGAAAAAACAAATCCATCGCCAGATCTTGACTGTTTCACGCTGTGACACTGCAAACTCTTGTGACCATGTTTTCCAAAAGTAAAACACTTGCCTTAAAATCTTGCATGATCGTTCCTTCGTCTGAAAGCTTGGTTTCGATCTTTATCGTTCTGACGGCCATGGTGTACTCGTTTTCCTCGAAAGCGTCGATTCACATTGGGTTGTGCGTGTGCTTTAAAAGCAGTTTCCTTCTTATCACGTTTCTGTAGCGTGTCATACTCCCGCCGGAGCATCTCTTTTGCGTCTAACAGCGTCACGTTGCTGTGCGCCTCAAATATGCGAACCATGTCATCATATTCAGATGATAAGCTTCCTAAGAGAAGTACTAGCTTTTCTCATCATCAACCATGCTGTCACCAGCAGCCCTGAGCTTCAAACAAAGCTCATCAAACTTCAGTAGGTGGTCCATTAGACTCGTACCAGTTTCCATCACAAATTTATGTAGTTGTTTCCGAAGTTGCACCCGATTGTGGAGGTTCTTCTTCGCGAAGAATGTCTGCAATACCTCCCAAGCCTCAAGGGCTGTCTCACATTCCCGAACCATACACTGATAGGTGGGTGAGAGTAACTTCACCAGCACAGCCAGAGCCTTTATATCGGCGACTTTCCACTCGGGTAATTCCCGTAGCACTGCCGACTCTGGCTTCACCATTACATGATCCTATAGATCCTTGCGTGCTAGGGTCATGCGCGCGTTAAATTCCCACATGAAGTAGTAATCATCCGTAAGGATATCATTGGGGGCCAACGCATTTGGGCTCATAACTTATAACAACCAGACAACTACTTCTCAGTGCTTAAAATGGAAAGTAGTATTAAGAGTTAAGACTACTGCTAAAATGCACATATAAATCCTCTCATAAAGTGATCGCTCATCCAGAATGTTCGAAGAGCCCTGTCCCTGCAAGTTGCCATAAACACGACACACAATTCATGTCGTGGTACGTAAACCTCAACAGCTTCAACTGGTCGAGCACTTCGTGTATACGTGGTGGGGTACAAATAATACAGGGTCAAAACTCTTTGCGCAGATGGTGAATATCCCTTAGTTCTCAACATTAGTTGGACCGTCAATTGAGCCGCTTTCGGACCGGTGGTCACGGCCTTATATCTGACTACATGGATTACTTACATCGGTTTCGCACTACGGGAAACCTCGGAAGACTCCGATAATTGACAGGAGTGCAAAGCAAACGTTGTTGGAGGCCTTTATGTTTGCGAAAAGGCAAACTGAACAACAAAGAACATTTATGTTGTGTGCACAATGCTTTACAATTGTCCTCTATCATGATAATTATAGCGATGGCTGTGCTTCTGATTGACCTCAATCACTGCTCCATTTGTAGCTCTTTTACTACTTTGCACATGTCATCGAATCATCAACAAATTTGCTATGGCTGATTCTTATTCACATCCAAAAAAGCAACCGACTGCTTAAGTGTTAATCTGATTGGCAGGATAATCTAGAAGGGTGTTGCAAGCTTCCAGCAATGGTCACCACGCACAGGCACGTGCTTGAGAAGAGAACAAGCATGCGAGGATGAGGTCCCGACGAGTGCGGTCCTGCGTCACCAAATGGTGACGAGGGCACGCGAAACGAGCGAGACAAGTCAAGCGCGACGGCGGCTGACCCGCCGCCAACACCGGCACCAGCCGGAGCATGGGCGCCAGCCAACGTGGCAAAGCTGAAGAAGCGCATCGCGCGGCAAGAAACAGTGGGATCTGGGCTAGCTAGAGCTACGGATGCAGCGTCGTTGGCCCCGAACTGCTCGGATGCCCATGGGAGCGAGCACCGACTCTTGTACGAATGCGCCCGAAATAAGCACCGTTACCGCATGGACGGCTCTCAGCGAGCGATGACGCTCACTGAGGAGTGTACGCTCATGGCGTGGCTTTTAGGCGAAGATCTTCCTCTTGGAGCTACCGCAGTTCTTAAAAGATGCACATTTCGGTGCTGAGAGAGACGAATTCATCTCGTACGCCCGCAAGTGGCTCTGCCCGCGGTCGTATGCGTGTCTGCCCGTCAAGTTTACGCTACCGGTTGCAGGTGCCAAGCTGCACCTCTGCCGAACGTTCTTGGCGGACGCGAAGTCCGACGAGGATATCGAGCGCGTCCAGGATATCTTCTCCACGGCGCATCAAGTTTAATGCTCGTCGCTTTCCCAAGGCGTTGAGCTTGTGTTCATCCAGCCAGGAGCTAAAGCAGCGTGGACGGACGCGGTTTTTTGGATCGGAAAAGAGAAGCTCGTATTTCGCGAGACAGAGGCGCTGTACACAGATGTCCAACCGACTGGGTACGACACGCTCCCGCATGCTCTTCTCTGCAGCATCCATGTGCTCGGCATGAGCAACTTCGAGCCTGCGCTGATACGCAGGATGATGGGTGCTGCCACAAACAACGTCAATCGTCTTAATCGAGTCAATCGAACCGGGAGCCGAGGACAAGTTCGGAATTCACAAGTGGATTATCACTTTCTCCTCAACCGATTTCCTTGCGGAGCTGCTGCGAACGCGCATGCTGCGCGTCACCATTTCTGGCGAAGTGATGGAAGTGGGAGTACACCACCCGCAAAGCAGTTACCAAATCCCATGCAGAGTGTGTTTGAGCTTAAAACACTTCCGCAAGGACTGAAAGGCCACGGACCCGATGGCATCTGCAGCGTTCTTTACCCGTGGCATGATGGTCGAGCAGATTGTGACACCAGATCTACTGGTGGCCGAGACCACCGATGCTAAGCGATTGAATTCGCTTCACGAGAGGCTCGCACAGAAGGTGTAGCAACGATAGTTCGATGAAAAAGCGGCGAAAGCGCACGAGGCGGCGCAGCGCAAGGCCAAGGTGGTCGCTCGTGCTGCCGGAGAGTCAGCGCGGCTCCGCAATGTCGAGGTGCGGCGGAAGCTCGCTGTTGCCGAGCGCGACCGACAGCAAGCAGCAAAGGCCAATGCCTGGGCGAAGGCAGCAATTTAATCCATCAGATCCGTTCACTTCGCTATGGGCAACAGCGAACCTCACAGAGAAGCCAAACAACCCCTTACCATCGACGCCTGCCAGAAGTGCCAGGGGACTGCAGCTGTCGAAGGCTCAATGACAGCGGGGTACGTAGGATAGCAAGGGACGTGCTATTTGATGGGCGTATATTCGGCCCGTTGTGTCCATTAGCGTCATCCGTTTAGTTGGTAAGAGGGTAGGGCAGCTCCTTGGCAAAATGAGTGGTGTGGAAGACTTTGAATAAGAGCGCGGTAGAATATGGAAATTAAGCTTGAACACAGAATATTATTGTCACCTACCGCTTCCTTCTCTCAACACGCATCTTGCCTACAGGTTATGAGCCCAATGATCGGAGTGACCGAATCGACTACGAAGACAACAGGGGGTGTCCCGCGAGCCTCGCCCGGAGGCGGCTCGACAGCGCGTGCGCCCACCGCACCCGCAGTCGTCGAGTATGTATCCGCTCGCGAGAGCGAGCAGTGAGACATTTAGATCCTTGACGCGCTCGCCGCATTCACCGATCGACTGGATAGCCTCGAGTCATCGAAAAAAAGTGAGACGAGAAAAGGTTCATGCTCGGGGCCGTGGAAAGCGGCCTGTTCACCTCGAAAGTCAGCGCCGACATGCGCGGTCAACCGACGAAGATCGACGCAATCGAAGACACGGAGAAGAAGGCACCGGAGCCGCGCGGGTATCAACGCCCTACCGATCATGGCGCGTTGCGATTCGCATCGCTCGAGCAACCTCACACGCGCGTAGCACCGCAGTATCGCGCACCAGCGTGTGCGCCACCTGTTTACAGGCGTAAGCATCACCACGTCCGCTGCAACAAGCTTCTTCAACGCAAGCTCATGTGCGCCCGGGCCTTAACGGCTACGGGATGCCGTCGGCAAGCCAGCGGAAGTTGAACATACGCAAGTTCGATGGAAAAGATCTGAATTGCGGACTCGGGAGCGGATTCTTCGATTGCGGGCGCACGTTTCTGACCGCGGTGAGCCTCGCAGAAGCATCGTGAGTTGTCGGATGGACCGAAGACGTTAAGGTCGACCTGCTTGGGCACTTTCTCGCCGGCACGGATGAGAGGTACTATCACAAGCAGGTCGACACCTGGGTGACGCAGACAGCCGCACTGCAATATAACCATGGAGCAGCTCCTGCGCATATTTAAGACGACAAACACAGCGAGCCAAGCGATGAAGTTGTACATGGCCAAGAAGGACACACGACGTACCTGCCAAGCAATTCCTGTATATGTTCGCCCTCTGCGAGGTGCGTGATGGTGCCGACTCGCTTAATCTCGATAACATCGACCACCACGCTTCGCCGGAGCTGATGAACGTGATGCGCTCCAAGTATAACCCACGTGAATCGACTATCTGCGCCGCGCGGAGGGTTAGCGAAATTTGCGCAGTCCATCGATCACGGTAGCAGCGCAGTAGTCGTGAGGTCGTAGCCGCGCACGTGGAAGCAAACCCATGAGCGCGATCACGTGCTACCGATGCAGGCGACCGGGGAACATCGCGGCAGACTGTCGCGCGCAAGTCGTGCACGACGACGAGACACCCGCGGAGGTTAATGGCGATAGCACGATCCTCGCGCTGACCGAGAAACGCAACAGGAAGAAGAAGGGCTCGCGCGACAAGGACGCCGCAGCGAGCGATGCAAGCGACAGAGAGAGATCATGGACGACTCATGCGGATTCGTGCTTGCGACGAGCGACGAAGCACGAGCCATGGACGGCACCCGTGGCTTCGAGCTAGCGGCGACCGAGGAAATTGGATCCTCGACAGCGGCGCGAGTCGGTATCTCGTCAACGACCAGTCGCTGCTGCTCAACTCGACGGCTTGCATCCACAAAAGCATGATGGTAGACGGCGAGTCGCTGCACCTGACGCGTGTCGGCATCGTGCGTCTCGAGGTTCTCGCGCGTGGCGCGGACGCGGTCGTGACGCTCACGGATGTGTACATGGAGCCACGACTGGAAAAGAACATCGTGCAGTACGGCAAGCTTGAGAACAAAATATTTGCCCTTGTGCACGACGGCGACAAGATCTAGCTCGCTCAGCGCAGCGATAGTGCGGTCGCGTTCGATGTCGCGATCGGAAGCAACGTGCTGTATGTCATGACGACGGCCACGCGCGACAAGGAGGGTGCAGGCGGAGCTCGAAGCGCGTGTGACGGAAAACAGCGCCGAAGAGCCGCACGAAGCGTCGCTGTGCATTGGCACCAGCAAATCGGCCACCTCGCGTTCGTCACGATTAAACGCATGGCGCGCGACCCGGCATCGGGCATTCGGCTGAGCAGCAAAAAACGCATGGCGTGCGTGTCGTGTCTCGAGGTCAAGCAGACGCGCAACATGCAGTCGAAACAAGAAAGCGGCGTGCACTCGCCCATCGATTGCATCGGCGGTGTCATCTGCTGGGACCTGAAGGGTCCCATGACGCCGCAGGATCGACTCGGCAATCGTTAACTTGTGGACTTCGTTGATCACAAGATCAACTACTGCCGAGTCTTCCTTACACGCACGAAGAACACAGCGACGAAGCAGTTTGAGGCGTCCCTTGTTCACGTCTAGAAGCTCTTCGGGTTCAATATCCACGTGCCCCGCACGGATGGAGGCGTCTAATACACCAACGTGGACCTGTTCCGCGAGTACACGGGCGTCGCACGTCAAGTATCGGAGGCGCGCAACCAAGCGTCAAACGGCAAGGCGAAACGGAATCAACGGACAGTGCTGATGTTTGCCTGCGCGCTCCCACTGACGTTCTAGAAAGACGCAATGCAATACGCCGTGCACATTCTCAACCGGACCCCCACGTGAGCAAACGTAAGAAGAGCGTCATTATTCGAGGTACTGACAGGCAAGACGCCGGATCTGCGCGGAGTCGTCGTTTTCGGCTCCCCGTGCAGCGTGGGACAGGGACCCGCGCAAGAACTCGCTGCTGCAGCGTTCGAAGCGCGTCATCATTGTCGGCGTTAGCGAGAAACCAATGGCTTCAAGGTGGTGCTACCGCATGACGACAAGGTGATCGTCACGCAGCACATCAAGAACATCGAGACGCTGACGGAGGCGCAAAAAGCGCACGTCCGTAGCGCGACGGACGTCGCCGTTCAAGCCGGGTACTTAAAGGGGGCCGACGCGCCAGCAGCAACAGCGGCAAAAGTTGATCGCGCAGAGACCAACAGCCCGACGCGGAAGAAGAGCAGAAAACGATGGACGCGAGCGGCGCATGGAACAAAAGGCGCGTCGAAACGCGCAGAAGCGGCTGCTTGTCAGGAGAAGGCAGCCGCGAGCAGAGAGGTCGTGAAATCTGCTTTCGAGCGCAATCCAGTTAGAACTACGAAAGGGCCTTTAAAGGCTCAAACAGGCAAGCTGTCTGTGGAGCTATCTGCTGCACTCGAAGCTCACTATTGCCGGCTTCACGCGGTGCGAGAGCGACATGTGTTTCTACTGAAAACGCGACGGCGACGACCTCGTCGTGGTCGGCATGTATGCCGACGATCTCCTAGCGACAGGAACGAGCGCGGCGGTGGTCGAGCGGTTATTCGCAAGCCTCGCTTCGTTGTCGATCACGGACATGGGGGTGTCAGCAAGTCCCTGAGCACGCGCGTGACGCACGACCGTCAGTGCGGAATACACGCTCGATCTAGAGGAGGCCACCAGAGACCTCCTCGCGACAATCGGGCTTACCGAAGCCAACTCGAAGTGGACGCCGATCGAAGACAGCTGCTACGAGCTAGAGGAGGGCTAAGAAAAGCTTCTTTGGGACGCCAAGCACGCGACCAGGACCGACAGTGCGCCAGTTCCAGTCGCTGGTCGGCTCGCTGCTCTGGGTGGCGCGTTTCACGCACCCCGACATAGCGTTTGCGGTGCACAAGGTCACGAGACGAGCACACGCGCCTCGACAAACAGACTGGAAGCTGGAAAAACGTGTCGCACGATAACTAAAGGGTACGGCGGCGCTCAAGGTCGGGATGATCCCGGAAGACAACTTGGGTGCGGCGATGCGCCTAAAAGCGTTCAGAGACGCCGATTTTGCCGCCGACACGACGGACCGGAAGTCAACGACGGGCGGCATCGTGATGCTGAACGGGATGACCGTCAGCTGGGTCTCACGGAAGAAGGGGGGCTTTTCCCCTGTAGACGATGAAGGAGGATTTTGTCGCGGCGAGTGAGACCCGCGCGAGTTACTCGGCCTGCGCGAGATGTTGAGCGAAGTAGGCGTGGAGCCCGCGCTCCTGATGCAGTTGCGGGTGGAAACCAAGAGGCGATCGCGCAGATCGCGGGCGAGGCATCGTCGCTGAAAGCTAAACGTGGATGTGCGCCTTAAGTTCCTTTGTGACTACTCGCGTTGCGGCATCATCGCGACAAGCTACGTCAGGACGAGCTGTGCCATCATCACGGCAAGCTACGCCAGGACGAGCTGTGTCATCATCGCGGCAAGCTACGTTAGGACGAGCTGATCTCGCAGAACTCCTCACGAAGGCGTTGGACGTTGCGAAGTTCTCGACACTGCGCGCGCTCGTGCGCATCGGGTAAGATAAGATCAAGGACAAGAAAGGGCGTTTAAGGACGCACAGGCACGAAGGAGCGAGATGGTCGAGTGAAATTTCGCAATGAGGACCGGGGGTTAAATCTAACTGCCATGCTTGAATACAAAATCTTACTGTTCACCTACCGCTTCCTTCTCGCAACAGGCGTCTTGCCTACCGAGTATTCTAGCAGCTGTATGCCAAATAGCGTGAGCGAAAGCACGCCGAATGGAGAGAGTGACATCCCACCAAATGATGAAGATGCCTCCATGCCGAACGATACAGACAACGGCGCGTCGGACGACGCGGGCACCGGCACGCCATACAGTGAGGGCACCAGCACGCCAAACGGTGTCGAGCCACTGACGACGGAAGGCAACGACGATCAGGAAATAACGAGCACCAAAGACTACGTGAAGCCCGCAGAAACGCTAATAGAATTGGTCAGCGTCTTGGATGACACGATGCGCCTCGAAGATCTCGGGCAAGGCGAGGAGTGGTCAAACGGATCAATCTGTGATGATACACATGTCACCGTAGGCAACAGTCCGATTACCATCCTTCGATCTCTTGCAGCTAAGCTACCTTTGACTTAGAGCAGCTGAAGGATGCAGGAGGGGCCAGAGACGATTTACGTATCGCGAACATCCCAATTTAAGAGGACGTGGACGACTCCACGGAGCGCAAATGGCAGAGCGAGCCGCCTGTACCTACTACCTAAATATGAACAAGTCGCGCGTCCGCAAACTACCTGCCGGTGCACCAGCAACGGTAGCAACAACCGCCAGGTTTGCAGTACCCGTAGCCGCAGTCAATGCGGCCGCTAAGCCAACCGGCAATGTGACCGCCAAGTCATCCGGCAACGCCGCCGCCCAGCCAGCAGGCAACTCCTCCGCCAAGGCACTCCGCTCAGGCCCTAGAGTGGAAAAATCGGCAGCAATCCTGAGGTGGTTGACTACGCGAAAGCGCCGCGTAAAAGTACCCGCCGCTTTACCAACTGCCAAAAAGGGCCTAGATGAGTGGATCATGGGCTATACGACCGAGCTCACCAAGCCCATCACGGCGGTTCCGCATCCAATCAATTTCCTTCAACAAATGACTATGGATTTACTGCTGAGCTTCGTCCACGCAATCAACAGCGAGGTGCAGTTTGCTGTCATCCTCAAGTTTACCGCATATCGCAACCTCTTAGCCAAGATCCGCGGACTCTGCACAGGACGGGCAGATGTGGCTGGCGTCCAGGAAGAAAAGACCATGTGGATAACTACAAACTCGATAAGAAAGTGGGCTCTCTTGGAACAGCATGACAAGAAGCTGGTCTGCGCAAAGTCGTTCAGTCAGTGTAAATCAACGAGTGAGGAGCACTCAACGCCATCTGCGTGCTCCTTTCCAAACTCGCGCCTGCCAACACAGAAACTACCGTGGTAATGACGCAAATGAATGCGTTACTTTACTTTACCTCCGATGCTGTGCCTGCAGCCATCGGAGGTATCCTCAGCAGTCCAGTAGACTGGCAGCCTGTCCTCGATCTCATCAAAAACGAGGGCCAGGCGCCGCCGAGTCAGAACTAATCACGCCTCTGGCGCTACTCAAGCTACGCCAGGGCGGACACCTGTGCGGCTCGTGACGAGCCGCAGCTCGCGCGCGTCAAAGGATTTTCAGGACTCCAAGGAGAGACCAGTCAAGAACACCATCGGACTGCACATGCAGAATGTTGCGAGACTGCAGAAGGATTCAATGCGCTGCGTGGAGTAGTTCTCGAACTTTAGGCAGCAAGAAGATCGTGAACCGGTAGACTTTGTTCTCCTCTGGTGGACTCGAGTCGTGGAAGGGGAAGCGAACAAGATGAGCGCTCTTTACAGCATGGTATGGTATTTCAAGGCTGAGGAGAATCACATGATGAAGATGTGTACTGAAGCACAAAGGTTCGACGGTAAGGGTATTGAAGAAGCAGTAGTCGCTGCAAAAACGTGGCACTCGGCCGACCACTTCAGTTGAATGGCAGTTTCTATCCTGGGATGGTGTAGTAAAATCAGGGCGAAAATGGTTGGTGTCGAAGAGATGGAAGCATGGTAGAACCTTGGTAACGACAATAACACTTCTACATTTTGCATTGGCATCTTCCTATTCTAACAGGTTATGAGCCCAAACGGTGATACTGATGCCGCTGGTGCAACTGGCGCGCAACCTAGGGCACTGACTGGTCGCGAAAGGGCCAGCAGCCTACAAGGCGAAAATTTAGAAGTCAAGGCAGAGGCGGTGCCAGGGAACACGGAGCAAAGGATGTTGGACCTACTGACGGGACTAGCGGAGCGGATGGCTAAGCTAGAGGCGTCACAAGGGACCAAGGACCAGCCGATGGACAAGGAGTCCAGTGTGTTCGGGTCAGCAATAGGTCTGGGGCAACCGATGAATCGGCGTGCTCTCGACGTGACACCGCCGAGGGCTCCTTCTCCACATATGTCGCCGGGGACGTACTTCGGGATGAACCAACCGGGGTATGCAAGGGCGGCTGAGAACGTCGAGAGGGCACAGGCGCCGCAGCCGGGGGGTTACCACAACACTTTGTGCCACCTCCAGTGTACCAGCAGGCGCAGATACCGCAGCACGTCCCGTCGTATGCGAGAGTGCCGGACGCTAGACAGCGCAAGCTGAACATCCGTCATTTCGATGGAAAAGAGCTTTACCAGGGGCTAGGGGGCGGTTTTCTATCCTGGGGGAAGAAGTTTGTACGGGAAGTCTCTTTTGCTGAGCGTGCGAGCGGATTTCCGTGGAGTGAGGATGTCAAGATAGACGTCCTTGGACACAATCTCACGGGAATGGCTGAGCGGTACTATAATCGCCAAGTTGAAGGGTGGTGGCAAGAAGAGCCAACATTGGAACACGCCATGCAAAGGCTGCTTCATACATTCGCAACTAAGATAACGCCAGCGCAAAGTATGAAGCTATTTACTGCTGCCAAGAGCCCCAAGCACAGCTGGACAGAACACTATTTGTATTTGGTCGCAGTAAGCGAGGCATGCGGTGGAGCAGACAACTTGGTCCAAGACAACATAGTCCACTACGCTGATCCGGCAATGAGAGTTTCAATGCTGGCGCGTTTGAATCTAACAAGAATTGATTACTTGCGCCAAGCGGAGGAGCTGGCTCACTTCGCGCAGTCGACGGAGATCGAGCTGCGCGGAAAGCACATTGGAAAGGACGTCGTCAACAACGTTCGACATATGCGCGAAAAGACACGAAACGGGCGTAAGGACAATCGCAAGTGCTACAGCTGTGGGAAATCTGGACACATAAAAGCTGCGTGCCCGGGGAACAAGGTCTCAAGAGAAGCAAGCGTCGACGTGGACTTCGTGCTCGCAGTGGGCAACCCGAGCGCTAACCACGGCTATTGGATACTGGACAGTGGCTCGAGTCGTCACCTGGTAAACGATGTGAGCATGCTCGAGAACCCAGAGGACTGCCAAAGCGAGTGTATCGCAGCTGACGGAGGGCCCTTGCGCATAACGAAGCGAGGAAGCGTCACAATCACGACCACTGTAATGGGCAAGGTCACTAAAGTGCGACTCCTGGACGTGCAATATGCCGAGAACCTCGAAAGGAACATTATATCCTACGGTATATTGGAGGCTAAAGGGTTTGGGATAGCCTACATGGGTGATCGCAGGGTCGTCGGCAACATTGACAGTGGGGTGGTTGTCTTTGACGTGGAGAAGAAGAACAACGTGCTAATAGTGCGGGACCACGATCGCGGAAGTGTTCAGCTACCATCGGACATACTAATGACGGCTTTAGCGCAAGGAGAATTCGAAGTGAGTCAAGACGTGCAACGGGGCACGCTTATGCACTTTCACAGAAGGTTGGCTCACCTGAATTATGACACGATCCTTCGCATGGCAAAGGATCCAGCCTCAGGGATACAGCTGACCGATGAAACGCGTGGGAACTGTCTAGCTTGCGCTCAAGGTAAACAGACCAAGAACCAGCAGTCGAGAAAAGACACTGGCACGAATGCGCCGATTGATGTTATCGGAGGAGTCATCTGCTCTGACCTGAAGGGTCCCATGACTCCTCGCGACAGATTGGGAAATCGTTACATGGTTAATTTTGTGGATCATCGCACGAACTACTGCAGAGTTTTCCTGGCGAAGAGCAAAGACGTGGCGGCCCAAAAGTTTAAACACTTCATGGCATTTTTCGAGAGGCAATTTAATTGTCGCATTCACGTGCTGCGAACGGACGGCGGAGGAGAATATCGTACTCTGGACCTCTTTTGCAAGGACACAGGAATTGCGAGGCAAATTAGTGAGCCAAGCAACCAAGCCAGCAATGGGAAGGCCGAGAGGATGCATCGCACCATTATGAATATGGTGCGTAGCATGGTGTTTGCGTGCGGACTGCCGCTGAGCTTCTGGGGGACGCGGCGGAGTATGCGGCCTACATACTGAATCGAAGCCCAAGTAAAGCCAACGCTGGTCGCCTATCACCTCTACAGATGTTGACCAAGAAGGTACCTGTTTTAAGTGATATTGTGGTTTTTGGGTCACCGTGCACTGTGCACCAGGACGCGAAGAACAAGTCACTAGGAGCTCGTGGCAAGCAAGGCGTGATCATAGGCAAGAGCGATGAAGTGAAAGGGTACCGTGTGTACATTCCAAGGGACAAGGTCGTGGTCGTAACTCAACATGTTAAGAACGTTGAAACCCTTACGAAGGAACAAAACGATCAACTACGGCGCGTGCATCTGAAGGAGATTGATGAAGTTGCGTGCGATGGCTCGACGCAGAAAGAGAAGACGCAAGCGACTGTTCATGATGAGATGAGAAGAAACCACTCGAAAGTTGGTGGCTGGACGCGAGAGGCGCATATGACGAGGGCGACTTCGAGAAAGTCACGCGAAGACAATGCAGAACAAAAAGAGGAGGAGGTTTCGGATGTGGTGAATGTCATTCGTGAGAGCGACCCAAAATCCTACGGTCAGGCCATGAAGAGCGGCTTAAAAGATAAGTGGGTGGCAGCAATGGATGAGGAGCTGCGAGCTTTGGAAGACAACGATGTGTGGAAGGTGGAAGTGCCGCCCAAGGGAAGCCATGTCCTACACACCAAATGGGTGTTCAAAACCAAGTTGAACGCAGAGGGAGAGATCGATCGTTTCAAAGCGAGGCTTGTGGCATGCGGGAACGAGCAGGTCTACGGTGTCGACTACGGGTTGACGTTTGCTGCGGTGATGGAATTGAGCACGGTGAAGGTCATACTGGTACTTGCCCTACGTTGGGGAGTACCAGCAAGACATGGTGACATACCTAACGCCTACGTGAAGGCGAACAAAGAGGAACACTTGGAGATTTTTCTTGCCATACCTCAAGGCATGACTGTACCTGATGTGATTTTGAAGCAATTTGGAACACAAGGCAGCGACAAACTGGCGCTCAGGCTTAAAAAGTCGCTTTACGGCCTTAAACAGGCGGGTCGTCTTTGGAGCAAATTGCTGGACACGAAACTGGTCGAGGCTGGTTTTAGTCGATGCATGTCTGACGCATGTCTGTATTTCAGACACGACGGAGGCGAGCTGACAATTGTCGGGGTATATGTTGATGATTTGTTGGTGACAGCGACAAGTCAGGACAAGGTGGAAGAATTCTTTTAAGCGATGAGTGTTCTCTCTATTAAGGATTTGGGTCAAGTTAACAAGTTCCTGGGCATGAGGATGGCTCTAAAGGACTCGAAGACTTACACTGTCGATCAGACTACGGCGATCGATGAGATGCTAAATCAACATGGTCTGGATGCAGCAAACGGCGTGAGGGCGCCCATCGGTGACGACAGCAACGACGATGTGTCAGAAGGTGTGTACCTGTCGGCAAATCGGGGCAAGAAAGGCGAGACTACTGTCCGAAACTTTCAGTCTTTAGTGGGTAGCCTTCTATGGAGTGCCCGGTGTTCAAGGCCTGACATTAGCTTCGCGGTTCACAGAGCCACAAGACGTACGCACCAGCCCACTGTCAGCGACTGGAAGCTGGCAAAACGCGTCGCGAGATACCTGAAGACAACAAAAGACATGAAACTCAAGATGAGCCTCGAAGATGAGAAAGATGTTATCACGGTGACATGTTGGAGTGACTCAGACTTTGCGGCAGATAAGTCCGACCGCAAGTCAATAACCGGTGGAGTACTTACGGTGAGTGGAGTCATCGTGCATTGGATCTGCAAAAAGCAGACCGGAGTATCCTTGTCTACCATGGAGGCCGAGTTTACCTCGGCGTCGCACGTTGGACGAGAGCTGCTGGGATTGCGAGAATTGCTGAAGGAGATTGGACTTCCTGTGACTGTAACGGGGCACCCTGAAGCTTGTACTGGTGACAGTACAAGCTACTTATTCTGATAACAGAATAAGGCGGTGCCTCGTAACTTCACGTACACTCGTACGTGCAGAGGAAGACGGTAAGAAGAAGCGAGTACTTGGTTAGAGTAAAAAGTAGAACTGTATTTATAATAGTTAATGTCTGCAATAAATCACTATTTATCTTCATCTAACTATGTCTAAATACAAATGTGTAAATCAGTTATCTGCTCACCACTCATTGCGTGCGTCTGTCGTGGCGCGTCTTCGTTGGTTGATATAATGGCCTATATCAACCAATTAGGAACTGCTTGTAAGTGCTACAGAATATTTGTCCTTATGACAATATTCTGAGAATATAACTCTTATAGTCATATTCTATTAACAATTTCTTATAAATTGTTATGTAACGATTCACCCCGTTACATCACCCCCCCTTAACCATCAGTCACTTTAGTGACTGATTGACTAAATGGATACTCGTCCCAAATCATTTGGGACAGGGTTTGCGCTTGTTGGTCCGCGTCCACTTTCCAACATTTCATCGCATGGTAAACAAGCCCATGCGATGCGCGAGCAAGGCCGCCGAGAGCGCGTCTGCACGTCTCTGTGCGGACGCCGAAGCAGAAACAACAGCAACTGATGTCCCATCGGTTGCTGAAGAGACCCAGCCTGTGTCACTTGGTGACGCAGGCGCTGGTCATGAAGACACTCGTGTCTTCACAGAGTACGAGCTCGGTGTCTCGTACTCTCCTGATACGGATGACGGATCCGTATCGACGGCGATTGAATCTAAGCCGCCTGCAAAGCGTGGCATGGACGATGCTTTGCGTCGCAGCATCTTTGGTTCATCTGATGAGTCAGATGAACCATCGCCGAAGCGAAGGCGCTCGAGGTCGCGAGACTCGGGCGCTAATAGTGGTGTCGGTTCTCCAATGGACACCACTTCACAGCGAGGTGCCAGTACTTCTGTCGGCACGTCGCAGGAAGAGCGGGACCGCAATGTGTTGCGTCTCGCTCCAGAAAAGAAGGCATGGATGCCTCCAAAATCCGTCATGGATCACTTGTCGGCGACGACGAGTGATCGTTATCGAACACGATTGTTCGATTCGTCAAGGATCCATCACCTTGACCCCAGCGCGAAAGACTATCGCGCTGAACATGAGTTCTTCATCGATGCTTTCTTCAGACATCGATGGTACAGTGGGAATCACAAACGTGATGGTCCCTCACTACTTCAGGCGTGGAACGCCTACATCCATAACCTCGAGGATGTAGGTCGTGACGCTTGGAACGACAAACTTATCAAAGCTCGTGATAAGTTTGAAAAGCGAACCCCGACAGGTGCACGCTACAAGCTGCATCGTCTGTCAAGGGAGAAAGGATTACCCTGCCTCTCTTGGGGAGACTCGTGCCCATGTTGTGTGAACAACTCTGCACGAGCACCTAAGGAGGCTTACCTCCTTACCAGCCCGTGGTGGCGCGTACGTGTCTCTACTGAGATGTACGAAGGGATTGACAACCTGAAATCCCTTTACGACCGTGCCGGGAAGACTTTCTCCGGCGGTCCTTCTGCGGCACAGGATGTGCCGCGTCGTACTGCTCGACCAGACCCAGTACGTCAACCATCAATTGGGAGCGGGGCTCCCAAGAATCCCAGGACGGGGGATAGCCGCGCCACCGGACGAGGTAACTCGTCCGACGTCCGTTCACGTCGCGGTGGTTCAACAGCTGCTCAACTAGATAGCGCTGGCCACCGCGAGAGTCCTCTAATGGAGGTGGAGGAGGAGGAAAGACGCTCTCCACACGATCATGTGGATCGGTGTGTTCCCGAGAGCTTCTTTGATCGCGTAACGCAAGGGTTACGCGACGATCTCGAGCATGAGCGGAATAGGCGTCTCCAGATGGTGGACACTGCCTCGAAGCATCGAGCTGAGTTTGCCTTTGCTCAGCTTGAGAACGAGAGATCTCTGACATCTCTTCGTGACGAGCTAAAGGTAGCTCGTGGGATTGTTGATCGGTCTCGGGATGAGATAGCTGCTCTTCAGACCCTTGTTGATGCCCACCATCGGGAGCACAAGGCTCTCTGCGAGATGCTTGAGCGCAAGGGCGTTCTTCATCGGAAGAAGCAGCGTACTGATGGTACGGCTTAAGCCGACCAACGTAAAACGTGGGATGCGTTCGCATCTTATGTGGTAACTCGATCGTGTATGCATTGCCTAGGCGGTGCAATACACGAAATGGGCCAATGTACTTGGGTAGTAGTTTACTGCTACCCAAGTTAGTCACTACATGCTTTGGTAGATTAACCGTAGACAGTAGGACTAAGTCACCTTTATTAAATAAAAGAGTGTTTGCCCTTCCATTCTTGTCAGCGTTTTGCTTTTGCTTATCCACCGCTTCGGCGATGGAGTCTTGTACAAAACGGACTACCGTTTCACGAGCCAGTATGAACTCATCTGATGACTCGTTAGCTTCAGTGTGCTGTGAGCGCACTGCAGCAACAACAACCTTTTCTTCAGTGAGGGCTTCCGCACTCTCACTGGGATCATTGTCTTCAGTGAGGGCTTCCGCACTCTCACTGGCATCATCTTCTTCAATATCGATGTTATCGATATCGGCATCAAACGCAATGACTTCTTCGTCAGAGCGTGATGAGCGTGAACCAAATCGGTTTTTGCTCGCGCGAGTCCCTCCCCCCTTGAACCAGAGTTACACTCTAGTAAGGTGGGTACACGCGGATGGCGCAAGCCATTCACGTAAAACGGTGTATGTGTCGTGGACGCATGCACCGAGTTGTTGATGGCAAACTCTACCATTGGCAAAAACTCACTCCAATTCTTAAAGGAGTGTACGTATCCTCGAAGTATCTCTTCAAGGACACGATTGGCACGTTCCGTCTGACCATCTGACTCTGGATGATCAGATGTTGACATCTTCAAGCGCGTTCCGAGTGATTTGAACACGGAACGCCAGAAATCAGCAGTGAATCGTGGATCTCTGTCTGATACGAGTTCACGGGGCAACCCATGAAGTCGGAAGATGGTGTCAATAAAGACACAAGCACAGCCACTTGCCGTGATTGTCTCTGGTACAGCCACAAGGTGTACCATTTTGCTGAATCTGTCAACAAATACGAGAATACCCGTATTCCCGCGTGCGTCTTTGGGTAACCCGAAGACGAAATCCATTGAGATGGATTCCCAGCACTCAGCCGGAACTGGTAGAGGCTGTAAAGGTGCACGCAGTGAAGGACTTGACTTCACTCGTTGGCAGACTTCGCATGCGCGAACATACTTTCGCACAAACTGATACTGGCGGGGCCAGTAAAAGTCTCGACTTACCGTGAGATATGTTTTCTCTCGGCCACGATGTCCTCCTATAGGAGCATCGTGATACTCGAACATGATCCGCAAACGCAGATCAGTATCATCTGGAATGACAACACGTGGTGTGTCACCAGAAACGGCTGTATAATACAGTAAACCGTTACGAGTAGTGTATCGATCTGATGCAGATCGATACGCAGGCGACAATCGTTTCAACAATTCTCGGGATGGTTGGGAGAGATGTGACAACAACTTCACTATCTCACCATCTTGGGCGTATGCCCGCCTCACATCATCATACAGCATTGTAGATGGAACTGAGGACGTCATAACCGCAACAGTGACTGTCTCACTGTTGGGTTTCGCGACTGTTTCAAAGTCGGGACGACGTGAGAGTGCATCAGCGACGATATTAAGTCGTCCTGGTTTGTACTCGACCGTAAAGTTGTATTCTGCAAAGAATGACAACCACCGCGCCATTCGTTGTGAAAGGTGTGGGCTGTTCACTGCCGTGCGTAATGACGCATGGTCAGTGTAAACAACGAAGGGTCTATCTCCTAATAGGTAGACCCTGAACTTCGCGAGTGCATACTTCATGGCAAGGAGTTCCTTGTCATGCACTGGATAGTTCCGCTCAGCTGGTTGCAGCTGACGCGACTGATAGCAGACGACGCGTTCAACGCCTTCAAGATCGTACTGCATTAATGCACAGCCGATTGCGAAATCGCTGGCATCACAGACCACATGAAATGGCCTGTCCTGATCGGCTATTGCTAGGACTGGGGATTGTATCAAGCTCTGCTTGATACCCTCAAAGGAGCGTTGACATTCAGCGTTCCATAACCACCTCTCGTTCTTTTTCAACAAACGAGAGAGGTGCACAGTCATCTCGGCGTAATTGCGTGAATACTTATGCAAATACGCCGCTAGTCCGAGGAATTTTCGAAGACCTTTGACATCGACCGGCACAGGCCAGTCGGTGATCGCCTTGATCTTTTCGGGATCAGGACGTACACCGTTCTTACCAACGATGCACCCAAGAAGTGGTATTTCGCTTGCTGCAAATATACACTTCTTGAGGTTTGCATACAATTGATGCTTTCGCATGATTGTAAGAACTTGTCGGACGTGGTACCTGTGAACCTCAACGTCCGACTTTCCATCCATAGCTCGACTATGGATGAATACGTCATCGAAATAACTCGGCGCGAACTCTCGTACTGGTCTCAACAGATGTGATACACATCTGTTGAACGTGGCAGGGGCATTACTGAGCCCTTGTGGCATTACTAGCCATTCCCAGAGCATGCCGCTAGGCGTGCTAACTGCGGTATAGGGTATATCCCGTTCCCGCATTAGGATTTGATAGAAGCCATCCATCAAATCCATGGACGAAAAGATGGTACTCTTTGACATACCATCAATGATTACGTCTTTCCTCGGTATCGGCGTCTGAGCCGGTACCGTTGCAGCGTTCAATTTGTTAAACGCGTGCACTATCCGCCACCCTCCTGTTGCTTTTCGCACACAGAAGGTCGGAGAGCTATGTGGGGAAGTTGATTCCCTCACATGGCCCGCTGCTAAACGATCGGCAAAGAACTTGTCGATCGCAAGTACTTGTTCACGAGGCAGTGGCCACTGCTTCATGACACAGTACTTCGAGCCTGGTTTAAGCTCGACTTCGTGTCGAATACCTTTATCCTTCGGTAATTCGCACGGAACAGTTTCAGGGAATACATCCTTGAATTCAACCAAATCTTCATAGAGAGGATTTTCCTTGAGCGATTCCCATGATTGGGACTCATATCGCTCAATTCGTGTCTTTTCATCTAGGACACTCTCGTCCATAGATGAACTACTGAGAACTCTCTCGTTCTCAGTAAACACTGTTGCTGACCTTATGTCGGTTACACACTCGTCGTCAGCGACGAGTATGCAGATCTGCTTGACTTTGCCACTACGCAGATCACGCAAGAACCTTTTAAGTTCGAGCGTTGGCAACTGAGTGATCTCCGAAGTTAACTTCGGAGGCGCAATCAGATCAAGTGTATAAGCGCCTACACATGATCCGTTATTGACTATGACATTCAATGTCTCTGTCATTTCCTGGGGACTTATTCCCTCAGGCTTCGAAGGACTTATTCCTTCGTCTTCCCGGGGACTTATTCCCGCGGGTTTCGGGGAACTTATTTCCGCCGTATTTGTTATCTTGGGACTTATTCCCTTTACTTACTCTAGCTGGGGTTGCGCAACCACAGCGAGATCCTCTACGAAAGACTCTCCAGTCGATCTAGGATTATCGTTTCGCTTAACCTGAGCGATCGATTGTTTCTCTTCTAGATGTTCCCCTCTAGGGATACATCTTTGTCCCAGTCCACCCGACTTATTCGAGTGGTGGACCTTCGGCGCAGCCTGTGTTTCCTCACAGCCGCCGGAACTTTGCTCCGAAGTGTAACCGTTTGGTACACTAAGGTTTTGTGCAGTCGTACTAACGACCGTACCACAAGTGAGGCCATCGCACTCACTCGTAGTACATCCACACGCTTGTGGACGCTCCAAAACGTTCATCAGATGGCCATCTGATGAACAAGCGGCAGGCATCGTTACTGTCCGATGTTGCCAGTTTACCCGTGGTTCGTACCTTCTGAGCCACGGTATTCCAAGGATGACATCAAATTTTTCATCCAAATCCAATACGATAAAGTCATCGTCATATTGGGTATCTTCTAGCGTATAGCGAATCTTCACTATACGCTTCATGACGGTTACGGATGCGCCTGTCGCAAGACGAACCGTCATCCTCGTAGGAGGTGTGTCACATTCACTGAATTTAAAGTGACCATCTTCTAGCGATTGGCGTCGCACAAAATTGTTGGACGCCCCACAATCGACTAGAGCTTGAAGGGACAACTTATTCGTCACTTCGAGTTTCAAGGTAATGAGTGAGACCTCATTACCTAGAGCAGCAACGCACAACGTTTGTGTGTTGGGAGCAACCTTCATCAAGAGGCCTACAAATTCTCTTGACGTTGCTAGACCAGTAGGGTGCTCCGCACCTACTGATCCTGTCCGTTTTTTGACGGTCCATCCCGTTGTTGCGTCTTTGCACCAACTGCGGACCCTCGTCCCTGCCCCTTTCTCATGGGTGGACGGTCACTACGCCCAGTGTCGCGAGACACTGGACGAGGGGCACTACACTCGTAAGCGTAGTGTCCTGTCTTCTGACATCTGTTGCATCTCTGCAACTTCTTGTAGCCTGTAGAGCGAACCTTCTCGCTCTCTACATAACAGAGTTCCATCGGCTCTGGACCTCCGTTGTCATATCGTCAACCGAGACGATATGATGTCGAGCTGGCGCGAGCCTGTCTCAGACTGAAGTCTTCCTGCTCCGCAATGGAAATGGCTTGTTCTAGTGAATCTAGTTCAAGCCGGAACAGGTGAGTCTTGACGGGACCATCCGCAAGACCCTGCATGAACACCGAAACCAACGTGTGTTCATCCACTGGATTGGAACTTATACAACTCGTAAGATGTCGTATGTGTTGAGCGTAAGCGTGCACATCACGCTTACCCTGCTTGAGCTTCAAGAGTTCGGTTCGAGCCCTGAACTCAGCTCTAGGCGGTTCAAACGTTTGTCTGAGCCGCGACTTGAAGACTTCCAACGACCCAAACGCATATGGGTCGTGCAGCTTGAGCCCCAGTGCCCAAGTCTTGGCACGTCCTGCCAGATTTGACTGGGCAAATGCAACTTGCATATCCCCGTCGTCGATGCGACGCGCCCTTATGGCGTCATCCAATTCGACGAACCATCTCAAGAGGGAGTCTTCTTCGACCCCTCTATACTTTGAGATGTCAATCTTCAAAGTCTCGGGCCGACGCGAGTGCATCGACCCGCCAGCAGCAGCCTGCTGCTGTCTCAACAGTTCAAACTGTTGAGCACCTTGTTCTCTCAACAACTCTGCTTGTTGAGAACCTTGTTGGTGAAGCAAGGCTACTTTCTCGCGTTCAGCGTCAAGTTCATTTTGGATGAACTTGGCGATAGTAGCATGTTGGGCGTCTCTATTGAGAGCCTCTAGCATGACGCTAACAGCATGGATGCCCATGGTCGAACCCATTCGTTCAACCGCATCCCATTCGACATCGCTCAAATGGGAGTAGCCGTCACGCGTAGCGTGAAAGCTTTGGTCATCTTCATCATCCAACATATTCATGTTGGATGTGAACGCGGTCCTTGGACGGACTACGAAGTGCTACCAGGTGTAACGGGGCACCCTGAAGCTTGTACTGGTGACAGTACAAGCTACTTATTCTGATAACAGAATAAGGCGGTGCCTCGTAACTTCACGTACACTCGTACGTGCAGAGGAAGACGGTAAGAAGAAGCGAGTACTTGGTTAGAGTAAAAAGTAGAACTGTATTTATAATAGTTAATGTCTGCAATAAATCACTATTTATCTTCATCTAACTATGTCTAAATACAAATGTGTAAATCAGTTATCTGCTCACCACTCATTGCGTGCGTCTGTCGTGGCGCGTCTTCGTTGGTTGATATAATGGCCTATATCAACCAATTAGGAACTGCTTGTAAGTGCTACAGAATATTTGTCCTTATGACAATATTCTGAGAATATAACTCTTATAGTTATATTCTATTAACAATTTCTTATAAATTGTTATGTAACGATTCACCCCGTTACAGTGACGGAGCCAATGAGCATGCTAATGGACAATCAAGCAGCAATCAAGATGTTACAGTCTGAAGGAAGCATGGCGAGTGCGAAGCACGTGGATGTGCGGATGAAATTCATCTGCGATTATGCTAAAAAGGGTATCGTCAAACCTGAATTCGTCGAGTCGAAGTTGATGAAAGCAGACCTGTTGACGAAGACACTGCCGGCGCCAAGGGTCGCGGAGCTACGCGAATTGTTTAACCTTGTTTGAATGTTGCAGGTGGACCGGATGAAGCGCGTCGTCCGAGGAGGAGTATTGAAGAAGCAGTAGTCGCTGCAAAAACGTGGCAGTCGGCCGACCACTTCAGTTGAATGGCAGTTTCTATCCTGGGATGGTGTAGTAAAATCAGGGCGAAAATGGTTGGTGTCGAAGAGATGGAAGCATGGTAGAACCTTGGTAACGACAATAACACTTCTACATTTTGCATTGGTATCTTCCTATTCTAACAAAGGGGACATCGCTCTTCTCCTCAATCAGTACTCTACCGTCACCGTTTTTACCCCGTGGAAAGAGGAGCTCTAGAAAGAGTACTGGATGACAGCACAGGTTGAGCACTACGGCGGCAACTTTGTCATCGCTAACGTCTATGAACCGACAGACAAAAATGAGCGCGAGGCGATTTTAGAGAGGCTCACTCCATTTCTCGCCTAACATACCGGTTCGGTCCTACTCGGCGGTGATATTAACTGCACGGTCCACGCAAAGCTCGACCGATCATATAATGTTCCGGGGAGTCGACACGACTCGCCCGCCCTCCGGCACCTGCGCGCACGAGTTTGGTTGACGTGCTCGACGATGAGATGGAGCGAGTGGAAGAATAACGTGGACAATACGAGTTCTACACCCGAGCGCACACGTACTTCTACCACCTGCCCGACCCTGGCAAGCTCCTGACTTGATCGGTGGTTCCTCAGTGCATCACACGAGGACCGGGTTTGAGACATCAAGCAATGCGTCCCTGGACCTGCGGCTGATCCCAATTAGGTGACGATTCAAGTAGGCGCACCCTCACAGACTTCCCGGTGCAAAGCCTCGCTGATTTTACTCGTTTACCGTGAGCGCAGAGAAGGCAGTCGCGCTGGTCATCGAGCGAGCGCTCGACGCATCGAGACGAAAAATAGACGAGGCAGAGGGCATCGACCACGCGGACACGGCGACGGCGCAACGGCTTGTGAGATCGTGAGACAGCTGGAAGGATGGGCTGCGCAAGGAGATCCTAATCGAGGCTCGCCGCGTCAAGCGCTTCATGACTCGAAGCTACCGACAAAGGCTGCGCAGACTTCACCGGTGCCTCAATGCAGCGCACCTGGCGACAAAATGTCCGATGCAGCAGAGTGAAACACGATCCACGCAAGAAGCTCTCACCAGTGCAAATGTAACAGACGAGCCCCATGACGAAGATGACTATGTGAATACGTCGCAAGCTATTAGGGCTCGACTAGACAAGTGCAGACTAAGGTGGCGGCGAGCTAAATGCGAGCGCCTGATCCGACAGCACGCTCAATATCCAGGACAGTTGTCGCGCCTTTTTTTCGCTCAGGTATTCACGAAAATTCAAGACAGCACGATCTTGTCGCTTGGAGGGGTGGCGTCGTACAAGCCGAACCGCTCGCGAGAGCTTGCGATCGAGAAGGCGGACGGCTGGGGGAGAGTCATGCATCGGCATTGCGACTCCCCCGCCGAAACTGCTGCCTTTGCCGATGCGGCAATGTTTAGAAGACACAGCAATTGTTGTTCCAATCACTATGGAAATCGTTACTGATGTGCTACAGAAGCTAAATAGTGGCAAGGCCGGTGGGACTGACGAACTGGGAAACACCTTCTATCGAGGCAGTGCATTACCGCTCGCACAGATCCTTGTGTCGCTGTTCGCACGGTCGCTCGAGTGCGGCGTGGTGCCGGCGTCTTCGGAGAAGCCAACATCCAGTGCCTTAAGAAGTCAACCGCCGTGGCATTGCCGCTGGATCACAGGCCCATCGCTCTTCTGAACAGCAATTACAAGCTATTCACTAAGATCCTCGTTTCGAAGCTCCGTGCACTACTGCTTCGGACAATCGCCAGCGCGCAAGTAGGCTTAGCACCTGGTCGTGCGATCGACCCAACACTTAAAATTTACGACGTAGCCTAGATCGCAGCAATGATTGAAGAGCCGCTACGCGGGTCGCTCGCGATTTTGACCGAGTTCTCAAAGGCTTACGAATTGCTTCGACGACCAATCCTTCTCGCTGTTTTCAAGTGGCTCGGATTCTTGCGGAAGTTTTTGGCCATGATCGCCGTGCTCCATGGAACACGACCTGACGATTCATCGTCAACGACTTCCTGCCACGGCGATGTGAAGTGTTGTGCAGTATACGACAAAGGTGCCCGATGGATCCGCTCCTTTTCATCCTCGCACTCGACAACCTGTACAAGGTGATTAGTAAACTCAATGTCATCGACGCGATCATGCTCCGTGTCAACGGTAGATCGGAGACAATCACCGTGTCTAGCTATGCGGACGACACGGCAGTGTAACTGCGCGAAAGTGGTGCCATCCCGCAAAAGTTAATTACCTTAAAAGTATTTTGCTCAAGTGTCCGCCCTCAACTTCAATCACGCAGAGTATAGCGTGGCTGTGCTAGGCCCACGCGACCCAGAACGATCAGTCGTAAGAAATTACGTTGCTCGGGCCCGAATGGGCAGTGCAAATACGTCGAGGTGCAAGTTATTTAAGGCGCCACGAAGGCATTGAACTAGCCCCGATGCCCAAAGGCGATCTGGTACCATCTCGCTCTAGCCCATGTGAAGACTCACGTGGTCGAACAGAGAGCGCATCTTGCATAAGCAATTGCCGTCCCCAAGATCATCTACGTTGCGCAGCGCTACTAGTTTCCGACAGCTACTATCATCAAGCTCCATGGCCTGATCGAGGACTTCGTGTGGGGTAAGCTCAACGGAAGGCGGTCTCACCCGTGGGTGCAAGAGGAGCAAGCTGAACTGCTATCCGGCGGGGAGGCATATCCATCCCCAGCCGGACTGAACCCGGACTGAACTGACGACTCTTGCAGCCTCGACAGTCGGCAAGTGAGCGTCGTCCGCTAACGCGCGAGATCTCCTCATCGGCGACTTGCTGTAGGGTGGCGGACACACAAATTTGCGCTACATCACTCCGTGCTGGGAGTCTGACGCGAAACCATAAATTCTCGGTTCAATCTGGGCGACCGGGGCTGGTGCGGTCGTGGTGGCGAGTGCAGAACAAGCTAGAGGAAGTGACTTGACGACGGTGAAGATGCGGGCGGAACGTTTTGTAGCAAAGGTAATGGTCACACACAACGTCGACAGGAGCCCAACGGTCGACAGGATAATAACGGTCGACGCGCGAACGGCAATGGACGGCACAATTCGCAACGAAAGGCCTTAAACAAAATTCGTAACGGTCGCTTCTATACGAGGTGGCTCGAGCACGCGTAATGGCAAACATGTCGTGGCTACTTGACCGACGCAAGGTCATGTACGAGCTCAATCGCGCAAGTTTTGCTCGTGACAAGGCAACACTTGGCGACACACTCTCATGGTCCTGTATCGAGTACGGAGAAGTGCGGTTCACACCCACACACAGTATGGCGACAATGCACAAAGCGAACAGACGGAACTTCGGGCGTTTCTGCGTCACGCTGGCGTACGATCTCCCATCTCTCTCGCGCCGGCCGGCCGGGGGCGGCACACTCATCTCGGATCAGACTACAGAATACCAGCATCATGAATAGACGTTGGATTGCAGCGGCACGACGCTCTCGCACTATGACGCAGGCCGAACGTGCGACACGACTTGAGTGCACTCCTTGGCGGCGTGCGACCGGGAGGCAGCCCGCTCTTGTGGCACTCCTGTCCGCTTCACATGCATCGTAAAGCTTTGGGCAGAGGAGCATCGATGGTGGCCGCGCCGTGGAGTCCAGAAGAAGGTCATTACTCGACGACAGCACCAACAAGGTGAACCTTAGCGTGGCAAGCGCGTGATAGACACCATGTCTGCTCCGCGTGAGACGACGCGATGTTCGTTCGCGTCGTCTCACGCGGAGCAGACGTGGTCGAGTGGGTGGAGTCACGACAAATACGCGCGTCGTTTAAGCAAGTCACACGGACGCTGTATCAGATCAAGAGCAACAGCTTCCCTCTCTGGAACAGGGCTGCGCAGGACATGTCTTGCCCGATTACCGAGTGCCCCCATGGCGTTTAAGCGCCCGCCAACGATGTTCGCTGGCCCTTCCCTGCAGCACAACGACATTGGAAGCATCTCTTTGTGCTATGGGATCGCCTCGGCAGCTTCGACGATGCTGACATCCACGTTTGGGTCTTTGATCTCGAGATGCCAGAACGATCGATCAACGCGTGAGAGGCGGCGCGAACGACGCTTGCAGAGAGAAAAAAGACCCGAGAGGCACGAGTCGCGGCCGCGGACGAACTCTGGCGCTTTGCGGTAGCAACAACGGCTCACGAGTTTTAAACCGGGCGGCTTCGACGCATGGAATACACGACTTTTTCGACTGAAGCTCACGAGCACTCGCACAGACTAGCTTGCAGCGTGCGCTTTCGCGCTTTCACCGCAAGACTTACCAACCTAATGTCAGCAAAGATAGACGGGTGAAGGCTCTCATGAGATCAGCGCTCGCGGTTGCTCTCCTACGACACGTCGACCCGCTTCACTGCAGGCCTTGACATTAAATGGACGATCATATTTTTTCTACCTACTCTTCTTCGACGGAGGATCTTGGGGCAACCCGAGCCCAGGCGGCTCCTGGTCAATGGTTCTCCGTGCACCTTCCAACGCACGCAGCAGCGATCACGAAGGTCGCGTGCATGGCATAAAGCGCGAAGACGACAACGAAAAACCTAGCAGATTACAGAGGACTTGACCATGGTATTTGACAAGCGAAGGTGGGCGTCTTCGTGCCATCGCACGTACTGGGCGACAGTGCGATGATGCTCTCGCAGCTCCGGATGCACCGCTCCCCGCTCAAGCCTCAAATTGCAGCGCTCTATCGCGAGGGGAGAGCACTCGAGGTAGACGTCGCGGTCAGCAGCTAAGATCATCACTACCGCGAGTACTACACGATGGTGTAGAGAGCCAACATCGCGACGGACACTAAAGCATCCGATCAGATGCTCACACCGACATCTCATCACCTCGTCCGCTCGGTGGAAGAGGTCACGGATCAAGACGTCAACCACTGGATAGAGGCGTCGCTCGCCGCGGAAAGCTTGGAGCACGCGGGGCCGGCAATGACGTTTCGCTAGACCTCAGCCGCAACGCGACAGCTTCATCGGCGGCAAGCAATCGTCCGAGGCCTCGCGGGTATGTAATTTTTGATTGATCGGCACAGCGACTGACTCGAGGCACTACGAATATCTTAGGTCGGAGATCGCACCTTAACATACCTCACCTTCATCATTACATGGCTAATTAGGTGTCGAATGCGCAAGATGACGGGTGGTGATTATCGGTATTACGACGTAGAATGGTATAGATTTAAAGTGGTACAGAAGACACTCAGACTTTACAGCACAACACGAAAATGTTCAGTCTTTTAGACTTAAATAGTATTGTCATGTTGATTAGATACTGTGCGAAATGTCAATTGGAACTGACATAATATTGTTGAAAATACAACGGCGATTAACTATGTGATCTTTACTACTAGTAATGCGCCATGTGTCGATTGCTCACGTGTAGATAGAAAAATGCAGAAGGCTCTAACTAGCACTGAATGTTTGCAAACTAAGGACCAAAAACATATTTACTTCACAATTTGCCTTCTTCCTCCAAAAACTTTTCGTCAGGTTAACAGCCGCACAAGATGCTCAAGAACATCACCCGCTGCTCCCACGTCTGCGAAAAAGGCAAGAAGTCATCCCCGGTAGCAACAACTCCATCCACCGGGGGTTCGTTATGCGAGTGACGCTGGTAAGCAAGGTACTGATAGCGCACATTAAATTGTTCAAGCCCGAAGCAATTATAACCGATTTATGGTAGGTCTATGACCGATGCCCTATGTGGATTTGAAACTGTCGGTACAGCCGGAGCGTAATGCGAGCAAAACATCGTCCGCAACTGGCCATTGGACCTCGATGGCAAAGTCATATCAGAGTTTTCGTTCGAGGCGCATTTCAGCCCTTTTCTCGCTTGCTCTTTCAGCCACAATGCTGTTCAAGCGTCTTACTCAATGCAACCAGAGTATAAACTCATCGTCTTCTTCGTAGACCACATCTCTTACGTCTAGGAGTGAAAGGACACCCCTCATCGGCGGAACTGGTGCACCACGATCTTGCTTTACAACCTTACCTTGCATTGACTTGAAATATACACCTTCGGTACCACCTATCTCTCACGTGATGCCTTTTCCGATTCAATCTATTCAGGTGAGCGGCTACCGGGGCATTGATCAGCAATGCCAAAGGTTGGCCCACAGCATTGTTAAAGACGTTATTCCACACTCAAAGGGGAGAACACATAGTCGTTGTGACTTTTGAGTGTCGACATGATCTGAAATCTGCGCTAAGATCGCTCCCGTTGTTGGGGTACCTGCTCTTGCTGCTCATCGACCGTGTTCGTAATGATCGATGACCCCATGCCAGGTGTCACGTGCAGCACAGTAAGCGCATCTGCAGCCGTACGTTCGGGTAACGAATCAGATGCCTGTCTTGACATGTCGTATTGCACTAATATGTTGGCTTTAACTTCGCAAACATTACAATGTTCCGCTCCCTCCTCCTCGATGCCGAGAAGGTCGGAAAGAGTTGTATAATTTGCTAAGCATTGCCATGTACAACGCTTTGACCAACCGTGAGATGTGCTATTCACCTACGGCCTCGTTGAGGTAAAAAAATATAACGTGACGTTATTTGGTAGCGTCAGTCTTGGGGAGAGAACATAACGTTGTCGCCGGACCATAAAAATCCGAAAGAAACATATCATGCATATTGAGGTACAGCTCCAAGTTTATTTGTGATGATTGACGTGGTTAATAACCTCCTCGATCCAACGATGATAGATTGATGCACCATCCACCAATCTCTCAGGATACAAAGGAATACTGTGAGAACTAGCTTAACCTTAGCATTAGTTAGTTGGCGTACATTACAGATAAAACTTATAAATCGAATAACGGTTCTACTTTCGATCTATTGTTGAGCGTGTCTACTTTAGACGTCGGCAAATCCTGAATAAGAAGAGTCCCTTTGCGCCAAGTACTCTCAAACACGTTGTGCGTAAGATTCTTGTAATCTTTGTTAGTCTTCCATACCAGGACTAGGTGCTCTACAAACGTAAAGACTCTGCGAGTCACTGTTAATTAGTTCTATAGAACTAGAGTCTCTTGAAATTATAATGAGTTTAGTTTAGTGAACTAAGGGACTTTAACGCCGTAAATCTTCCTTAAAATAATAGCTGTGTAGCTACGCTACAGCCTCCTCATCTGCTGCAGCTCCTTTTGTGCCTTCCTTCTTCTTCTACACTTCGTCCACATTCTCTTGATTCTTGAGCTCTAAGCGAGCACTCTCACCTTCTTGTCAAAGAGTTGAGAGGCTGATCGATGGAAAATCATTCAAAAATTTACACTTCGTTCTTCACAAAGAGTACCAACCCCAGCTAACGATCAGGGTGGCTCCGTGTCGCTGACCTCGGGGTACAAACTTAATCAGGTTTAAAAAAGAAAGGTGAGGGCCTTCCAGTTCTCTAGGGGTCTTTTTCTCCTTTTACAGTATCTTTTTGGTATGTGGTGGATGGGAGTGGTTCTTGGTGAGCGGTTTAAGTTTTATTCTTAATTTATTGACTTGACTAGAGTTTCTCGAACGACGCCATTATAGTCCGATAACTTATGGCCGCTGATAATGCATCGGAAATTGTTTTCAGTTCGACTAAAAGTCAGAAGAGGGACGACTGTACGAATAATCTGAAATTTATCCGCGGTGAAGGATATGTAAAACACTGTATGCTCTGTCATAAAGCAGATCATACAAGAACAACCAAGAAACACAATACTATCGGCTAACCAACCATCCAGGCGCACAAGATAAACAGAACTAAGCCAAGTCGGAAATTGCAACAACGGCATGCTCCACGAAGCATAAAGAATAATGCCTGTCATGTGGTCAGATCCGAACATCTTTCTTCGATGAGCTGCCTATCCACGCTTAAATCCTCAAGTCCCCTTTTTATAGGTAGTGCTTTTGAATCGTTATCTGTGATACCGTATATCACCCAGACACGACAAAAGTGTGTCTGCGTGATGGTAATCAGCATGAGTTATAATACACAATCAACGATTAATTTAGCTGTGCATGGAAAGCATTTATCGACGGGAGAAGCACTGATGAGGTTGGGTTGTGTACTCATTAGCGTAATTTTGTCGTTGCATCGAATTCACAGATTGTAACGGGGCACCCTTTGCTTGGGGTGCCGCGAAACTTCACGTACACTAGTACGTGCAGAGGAAGCTATTCTGTTTGAACGACTCGGTCAAGTAAAGGTAAAAAAAGAACTGTATTTCGTGTAGTTAAGCTATCAATATAACTTTCTTCTTTATCTAACTATATTAAACTACGCCGTCGCATGACGACAACCTGCTCACCACTCATTGCGCGCGTCTAGCAGCAATTAGTGGCAATCTATGGTTGAAATGTCTTTATCAACCACTCTTGGAGCAGCGCATGAATATTATTCAAAAGGGGATAATGTTACTTCAATATTATCCATCTCGGATATTATCGGTAGAATATTGTCATGCTAGACGATCTCCCTATTGACACCATTTGGTGTCAAATTCATGTAACGGGCTACCCTTTACACATATTTAGAACACAGTTAAACTATTGCTGCTTATATGACGTGAGTCGTGGTATGACGCTGGGACTGTCACTGCTGTTGGCTTTGGCTTCAGAAGTGGATCATATAGCTGTTGTGCTGGCAGCTGGCATGGATCGAGAAAGCGTCAACTAATTCCGAGCATTTATACCGATTATCTGTGACTGGGCACCGGATCTCGACACTAATCAACCAGTGTCGAGATACAAACACTGGCAGCAGTGTGAGTATTGCCTCGATACCTCTGTAGACTACGCAGAGGAAGGGAAAGCAACTAGGAATTGAGTAGTTGCAGGTAAAACTAAAACTACTGTACTAAAATATAATTAAGTCCTAATCATTAAGCCACGTTTTGGTCCTAGCTTAATTTCACTTTACTACAAAAGGGTATGCTAAAGTCTTGCTCACGACTCGTTGCGCGCGTCCATCGTTAATTGGACCGCTAGAGCTGGCTGATATGATGACCCATCTCAACCACTCGGTTAGTGCTTCGGAATGTTATCTCTTATGGTAATATTTACGAGCATGATCAGCCTTTATGATAATATTCGAACTAACACGCATCAAGGGTTAAATTACATGTAACATGCTCACCCCGTTACAGTGCTGGCATGCTAAGAATCTGCACGAGAACAACGGTAACCGAACGCTCGTACGATCGCAACGCCAAACTTAATAATTAAAGATGTATTATGAACGCATGACGACAAGCTTACGCAGACTCAATAATTTTGTGTTCGGGCGATGATGGGATCGTAGAGCATGACACAAAGCACTATTTATGTAAAGTTGTGTACCGGAGGATTCAAGAGAGGTAGCTTATCAAAAAAGGATGATTAGACCAGACCCTTCCGTGTACGACTACTGTTAAGTGCAGAACACTAAGTGAGCCGAACGATTGGAGCGGCTTCATAGGCAAGAGAGTTTCCCTCCAGATTGAGTAGCTCCACCAATTCAGTAATTATGCAACCCATCGATTCTTATGCCTGTCAATAGCCTCCAACAATACTCGTACCTTTCGGTGTATTTTCTGGGCATATCCTTCGGACGCTAAGTCGTTTTCTTGGACTGGCAAAGGATATGCGCGATGTGTATAAATTTATAGTTGTGAAGGCTGGAGAAGCAAGACATGTAACACGATCGCTGCTGTTCATTGACAAAACAGTCTTCACGAAAACACAATGTATAGCGCAATTTGTTGACCCCCTAGCAACAGTAGCATGTTGTGCAGCACCACCGCGTGGCCCGTTATCCTTCACCTACTGCTTCGCCCCTTTCTTCTTGGCAGCTTTCTGCATTTTAGCAGCTTGCACGTTCACCTTGACGTCGCGGGTAAATGGCAGGTAAGTGACGCCGCCCATGAAAGGCACCAGCACCTCCGGAACCTTGACGCCGTTGTCGTCCTGGAAGTTCTCCAAGATGCAACACACTGTTCGCGTCGAAGCGCAGAGTGTCGAGTTCAGCATGTGCACATACTTCTTCTCGCGCTGGTTCTCCTTCTTCACGCCACAGCGAATCTCCATGGCACGCGACTGGAAGTCCGTGCAGTTAGAGGCAGACACAAGTTCACGATACTCTTTGAAAGCAGGGAACCACGCTTCCAAGTCGTACTTCTTCACCGCAGCGTTATTCAGCTCGCCAGACACAATGTTTACCACGCGGTACGGCAATTCCAGCGACTGGTAAAACTTTTCAGCGTGTTGCAGCATCTCTTCGTGCATGGCAGTGGAGCTCTCTGGGTCCGTAATGCAGAACTGCTCGATCTTGTCGAACTGGTGTACACGGAAAATGCCCCACGTGTCTTTGCCGTGTGAGCCAGCCTCCTTGCGAAAACAGGTGGAGAACCCACCGTAACGAAGCGGCAGCGAGCTCTCCGTGATCCACTCACCTTTATGGTAGCCGCAAATGGGCTGTTCAGACGTGGCAATGAGGTACTTCTCATCCTCACCAATGATCTTGTAAAGCTGTTCATCGAAATCATCAAGCTGGGCGACTGCCGCCATGCACTCCTTGTTCATGAAGAATGGCGGCTTGAGCATCTTGTACTGGGCTTTCATGAGGAAAGCCGTTGCATAGGCCATGAGTGCCTGCTCCAGTAGAAACCCGTATCCCGTGAGAAAGTAAGCCCGGTGGCCGGCCACATGGACGCCACGTTCAGGCTCGTAGCCGTCAATGCGGTGAAGCACTTCGTGGTGATAGTGCAGACCACCTTTTTCAATAGGAACGCCCCACTTTTTCACCACCACGTTGTCATCTTCATTGTTTGAAAGGGGCACCGTAGGGTCCACAGTGTTGCCAATCTTGGGCAGCTCTCGATCCACGAGCTCCTTCAGGGCCTCCGCCTCTTTCTTTTTTTCCGGCAGCTGCGCTGCAAGGTCCTTGCGCTCGTCACTAAGCGCTTTAAAGTCCTGCTTGGCCTTACTCAGTGCTTTAATCTCCTGCTGGAGCGCGTTCATCTTCATGCTGACGGTCTCCACCTCGCCCTGTTTCTTGCGCCACTGCTCATCGAGCTCCACCACCTTGTTCACAATGTCCACGTTCAAAAAGCGCTTCTGCTGGTCAGTACGGACAGCGTCCGGGTCCCCGCCACGCTCGGGACGCAAGCGATTGATGTCGATCGGCATCTTCCTTCGTCTAAACACGTGGACGGTGTCTTGGGTGCGGGGTTGATCGCTTTTCCACCAATGAGCGTGTAGCGAAAATTGCACATGCACGAACACAGTTGGTCCGTAAATGTTGCACGAAGTCTCGCCTTGTGACGCCAAAAAACGTAAAGACACGGCTCAAAAGTTACTTAACATTGCCTACAGCAGCGTGCTTCGCTGATGGTGGTGCCGTTCCTGCGTGGCAGCAAAGCGGTCCACGACAGTGTTGACGTTGGTTGTACCCTTTGTGAGCGTTGCTAGATACGAAACCAACAGTGCGTCGTTAAACTCTAGCGTGAATGCCGCGTCAAAGTGCTCCGACTGCATTGCTGGCAACTGATTGCAAACGCTGGAAATATGACGGAGCAGGTTGTGGTCCATCGGCGCCTCCCCACTCTTAACGGCCTGCAGGAAACACAGTAGAACATCGATCTGCCGGTCCAGCATCTTGACTGCGTCTCGCACGTTGCCTAGATATGGATGCACTGCCGACAGTGCAATAACGAACAGCAGACGAGCTGAGTACGAAACGCCCCATCACACGACAGCATGCAAGCGCACTGCACATACAGCACGTACAGCTAGACTTGCTCGCATCGCCAATGGGCGTTATCTTGGAAATGTGGTCAATGGCTATGCCTTCAGTCTCGGACGTCTCAATCTTGAACGGCGCCTTGACAAAGATCATCTTGGGCACGCCGTTCAGCATATGAAGCTCCGATTCAAAGAGCGAAATGGGCAGCTTCTTCTTCGTGCTCGGTCCTTTGGATTCTGGATCCAAGATCATAAACAGCGGACTTTCGTTGAACTCCATCACCTACAATAACAACACCAAGTCTCTCAGATATTGGGATAGAGCACCAGGTGCCCCACCTCAACTTCATCACTCAGGCAGGTCTTACCACGCGATGCACAGCCAGATCACTAGGAAGCGCTTGAGCACCAACTGTGTACCATCCCAAGAGCTCAAAACCAGGAAACACCTGCGAGACTGTTGTAAAACAAAAGCAACAATTAGAAATAGCTACATACATAAACATGAATTTCTATTCCTTCTTCAGGCGAATACGCACACTGCTGGATACGCGAGGTGAGAAACTCCTTGTCGATCTGCATCTCGCCACTCACGACGTCGTATTTCATCTCAAACGAGTCATACACAGCCACGTCAAGACCTTTCTGGATCCCAAAGAGTGCACCGATGACTTGCGGAGCCTCAGTCTGACTGAGCTGGGAGTTGCATTTCTGTCGCGTTTGGTGATCCGTGATATTCACGATCACTAGCGGATGTATCTGGATTTGCCGTTCGCCTCCACCAGCTCCACTGTCCTCGCTCTGCACCAGTATCGCCTCGTCCGTCTCGTCAACACTCGTCATCTCGGTGTCCGGCATCGTTGGTAGAAACGTCTTGAAACAGATGTGGATTCTCAGCAAATGCTTGAATTGTATTTGTTGAAATGTGCGTTTTGTAAAATTGTAAAAGCTACATTGAAAAGTAGAATCGAAATTGCGTGGGAAACTTAAACTAACACCACTTTCTGCCTGTGTCTACATGACTTGTACTGACTGTATCTGTATCGCAATCCTTCTACATCAGCAGTCGTTGTACGAAAGGCCACTTTTTCACCCCTTAATGTTACGTTGTCAACATCATTTACCTCCATTAAAATAATGAGCACGCCTATCATGTACTCTGATGATGCAGATCCATGTATTGTTTAAGTCGATGTTCCTGCAACTGCCGATCCAATATACAAGCGTGCAGAACGCCACGAACGTCAGCAGCACCGAACTTGCTAGAAAGACGCACTGCAGAATAGAAGCCGCTCTCACGGCAAGTGCAGGTGGGGCGGACCAAGCAATTGTAAGAACAGTTAATCCCTGTCGATGGGTGCCAGAAGTCGGGCTTCATGTGTGGTGGTGAAAACCGAGTGTCGTACGTGTTACGAATTGTTTCGTATCGATAAGTCAGCAGCGAGACTCTGTACAGGCTGGTCCATTCAGCACTTTGAAGAATCTGATCAGCTAAACTCTACGCCGTATACCAAATCTTCGCCGTAAGCATCTCCCTTACCAAACTGTAAAAATCCAAGCGCATTTATCCGCTTTGTGCAAGAGAGGCACTACAAAATCACTGGCCGATCCATAGAATTGAAAGACTGTGGATCAAAAAGGTTGACTGCTTCTAATACCTCGCGATAGTTAATTACAAGCACACACTGTAAAAGAGAGCCAGATCTGTGATTACTATACATGAATGCCGCGGCGAATACAACCGATGCACTGATAAGATAATGCTCTCTACTCAACCTTTCGCACGTCTCACAACGAGAAGAAAAGGGAAAGATATTGATGCCAAGGATTCCTATAGGTATAAAGATGGAGACACTCCGCGGGTATGTGTTTTTTATCTCTGTGCATCGATTTATACCAACTATATTTTTGTACCTTTTGTCTCCAGTTATTCTAGCGAGGTAGCTTGTTACATGATTTTGACACCAAATGGTGTCAATAGGGAGATCGTCTAGCGTGACAATTCCCTGCCAATACTATCCGAGATTGATAATATTGAAGTAACGTTATCCTCTTTTGGATATTATTTAAGCGCTGCTCAAAGATCGGTTGATAAAGACATATCAACCAAGATTGCCACTAATTGCTGCCAGACACGCGTAGTGAGTGGTAAGCAGATTGTCGTCATACGACAATGTCGATTAATATAGTTAGAAAAACACTGAAGTCATATTGATAGCTCTACTTTATTAAGTACAGTTCTCCTTTTACCCTTTACTTAAACTAGCTATTTGAGTAGATTAGCTTCCTCTGCACGTACTAGTGTACGTGAAGTTTCGTGGTACCACAAACAAAGGGTGCCCCGTTACAGTTATTGCTAGACAGTTCAAGGAGATGGACGTAGTCATATCACGTAGTGACGTCCATGACTTTGTTTGCAAGAATAAGATGAAGGCATTGAGCGGCAAAAACGCACACAGAGGCGTTAATGCAACACATGGAGGACCAAAACGACACCACGGCCATAGCGGTCGACGAAAAAAGCCACATTCAGTATCTTTATTGTGCTGCCAAAAATAGTAAAGGATTCCACCCGCTGTCATCGAAGTCTTGGTTATCGTTTGCACTTACCCGACATTTTTACGGCCTCTCACTCCTGCATGTCGTTGGGATTACGTGTACTTACCAATCTCTTACTTCAGCTGTACGATTTATGGACGGCGAAACATCTTTTGACTGTAGAGGGATAATGAAAAAAATTAAGAGGTTTATTTGCAGCACTTATAGATGCTCTTTGCCGTTTGGCTTATTGGCCTTATAAAGCTAGTAAGGATTAGTGGCCAAGCGCATTCACAATCATCTGCCGTTGACGCATAGCGAACAATATCAAAATCCGCTGCCACACAATTTTTTGTCCCGACGAGGAGAGCTAGACTGCATGTTTGGGCCAAAGAAATTATGTTGTTTATTCTCCTTCATAAAATATGCTTATTGAGCTTTCACAGCAACTACTAGCCATTGCAGTAAGTTCACCATCTCATGTGCTTGTTAAAATTTATCTTGTTAAATTTTAACTGTGTTTGATATCCTTACTTAAAACAACACGACTGTAGCTTATTTAAACAAGAACAAGTTTCCTCTGCGGCATCATTGGGCATCTTTAAGCATTGACCAAGTTCAACAATGTGGACATGCAGATATTTGTCGAGTTAATAGCGTGCACCACAACACCACAAATATAGGTTTAATAGTGCGAGTGATACGCTGTTCGATGTTCGCTAACATTTTTCCAGAGGAATCGAATCAAATCACAAGAATATCGGCAAAGGTAGTAAAGCATAAGTCGAAGATGTCCAACAATATATCTTTACAGCTACATCAAAAAATTTCGCACCGCGCTCTAGTACTCTTTGATAACGATATCTGCTGACTCTTGATTTGTCAAATCTAAAAGGATATACTAGATACTACGAGAAGGCATACGGCATACACTGTGTGCACGTTATAAGTAGTCAAATTAACACAAAAGAACCAATTGTAGGTTGCAATTTTACGAAGCAATCGGTGCTACATCAAGAAGACGGTACGACTAGCGTCAACGTACAAGAAGATGGCATATTGCCACCCTTTCATATCCAGAAGATGCAAGCTCGCAAAAGGTCGCACCAGAGATCAACACAGCACCAACCGTCGGGCTTCATGTGACCGGAGCGTCTCGTTGGCATTGACAGATGCAGCCACTGTCGTTAAAAATGTCGCAACGGGCTCCGGTGTCCTTTCTTTCCATTGCTGAGACCATGAAATCCAGCAAAAAGTTCTGTCTCATCGGCGCATCGGGCATACCGCCACCCCAAGATTTTTGATCAAAAACATATAGCGCCTTCTTAATTCTCTGTCTTAACTTCCGTTGCCTTCGCTTATGCTGCTCTTCAAAACACCTCCATCATCGCGAATATCTCTTTAGAGGACACACATGGTCATCCCCTTTTCAATTTTTCTCGTGGGTTCTGCCAGCATGGCGTTGTTCATCGCCTGCGCCGTTGCCTTGGCTGATTCATCCATACTTAACAACGTAGCACTTATATAGTCGTGAGTTTTCTTTTAAGAATGTTACATCGAGGTTCATTTAAGGTGTCTTTTCGCTGAACAGATGTGGCATTAATAGTTAAGATAAAGATATAGCCGGTACAACTCATTTGTCTTTGGCAAAAAGTGGTGTGTTTGGGCAGAGATTGTATGTTTGGAAGAGGCTAAAGCGCCAGTATGGAAAGACTATTCAGCCGGTATTGATGGCCGGTAAGGAGGTTTTGGCCAAAAACTATCTGCTCTGATCTTTTGGCCAATTTAAATCCTCTTTTATGATCTTGTGCGCATTAAGAGTGGGACGGGAAAGATGAGAATATACAACACCAAATATCATAGGCGTGACCATTTTAATAGTCTTTTCTGATATGCATTATTTTTGAGATGGATAAACCATCACTCACACAAACATACGCCATCATTTTTCCACCTTTTTATTAAAGAAATCGTAATTCCGATTATTCAGTCGAAACCGATCAAAGCAGAAAAATGATATCCGCGTAATATTAAGCGATGCCAGTGTCGCTGCTGACGACGCTCAGGTCATCGCTGCTGCATCCAAGCGCTCCAAGTGTTATGCACTGAACACCAATATCTTAAGCACTTGCAGCACTACGTCCTTTCTCGCTCAAGGATATCATAGATCGGGTAATGACTTTAAAAATCACCCGAGACCGCTGTCAGTATCTGTAAACATTGAGGGTGTGACGACGTTTCAGCAATTTCATTCAGCGTACAAAACTGACATTCCCGCGTTATGTGGCCACTTTCCTGCAGTTGAAACGCTTTACAGCAATTGTGAAAGCCATGCAAATGAAATCTCTCATTCTTCGGGTATGTTTTAGTGGCTTTTCGTCTTTTAAGTGCCAAGAAGTGACTCACAATTTGTCTCTATTGTATCTGTATATATGTGTGATGTTGATGTATTTGTTGGTGTCATTCTTCTGTTGTTGCTAAGTTTTACTCGTGTATACGCTATTGTAAGTGTGCATTGTTGTGCATCTCATATTGCCATTGTTATTTTTTTCATCTATCAGCATTGTTGTTTTCGAACTTTGAATTCTATTATTATTGTTTTGTTGATAAGTAGCTGGTCCTTAAAGAGGAGGGAAGCAACATGTAGAGGGGACGAGCTGTCGTCATTATTATGTCGTTCCACAAATGGAAAGTTAAGGGTATTGAGGTATGTCATAGTGGCCGGAACCTTTGGAGACTTCGGACGAGTCGACGAACATGGTAGACATAGTTGAAAGATCGATATGGCTTTAAAAAGATGACAGATCGATGAAGATTGACGCCATTGTGGGTCAATGCTGCTGTTTGCTGTTAGGATGTTGAGCTGAAAACTGTGTCGAAGCCGTTCACATTTTGGCTGAGTCCGGTGTCTGGAAGAGGGATAAACGCGTGGATGGCTCCAAGTCCAAGGACAATACGGTGCTTATGTGCAGGTTTTATAAAAAGTGAGGATGATCTATGTAACAATTTATGATAACTTAATATTGCGGTAAGTATTTATAAGCTTATTTTTGTGGCTGTCATTAATTAAGCAGGTATGAGTGCGAATAAATACGACAAAAAAATAAGTAAGTACATGAGCAAATAATTACAAATAAAAAAGCAGATACACGTGCAAAAAACAAAAGATAATAGCAAGAGTATAACTAGTACGAGATTGATCGCGAAGTGATAGGTAAAAGCTTCGAACTAGTAGGGTCATGTCTAATAAATTAGCGATGCGGATGGCGGCGGGCACAAAAAAACCGAATCAGATATGGAAGGGATGGCGTTAACAATGC